GTTAGGTCGGGTGTGGGCGGCCGCGCGCGCGCGGGAAGTTTTAGCGGGCGGCGGAAGATGGCGGCGGCCGCTCTCACGGGGCTGCTCGGCGGCCATTAGCGGCCGCGCTCTTTCCTTCCAGCTCTCCGCTCCCGCTCTCCTCTGCGCGCTCACTATGGACGGCGAGTGGGAGCGCGACCATCTCCGTCTCTACATGCTGGCCATGGGCTTCGTCGAGAAGGGGGCTGACGACAGCGACTCGACTCTGATATCAGAGTAAGTGCGAGGGAGAGACGGGGAATGAGAAGAAGGTGGAGGACGGTGGCTCTTTTGTGACCTCCGGCCACCGAACGGGGCCCTGGGTTTCACCCAGCAGCGCAGGCCTCAAGAGGAGGCGTGGGGCGCGGTCTCGCCGTGGCCGCCGAGGAGCCTGACGTAACACAGAGGAAACGCCTGAATTTCCGTGGTGGTCTGCACTACCTGTGCCTGAGTACAGGAAACCCAGATACGGCAGTAACTCCTGCTCTCCGGTGGATGCATCCTGCAGAGTCGCATGGAGAAAGTGAACCGATTGGCTTTGTACCTCTTGGTTTGAAAAGTTCTTTGAGAGAAGATGCTCTCACTGAAATGATTTCAACTTTCTTAAATGGGCTGAAGGATGTATACTTTTAGCTGTGCAGAAAATAAAGCATCCAATGTATAACTTGTAGCACTTTAATATGAAGTTGTATTTTGTAATCTTAAGAGAACAGTAGAAACGCTATTTTAATTCGGCATCCTAACTACTCATGTAGCCCGTTATTTGCATCTTAAGCACACGTGTGATAACCCAAAGAGCAGTGCACTTACTGTCATTGCCCTCTTCTTGTCTGGTAAACTGATAGTCCTGTGCAGAAGTGTGTATTTGGCTTGTGAGGCTACCGCTGTCTACATAATCAAGAATATAATTTATGCAGTTGTTGAAGGGGAGAAAAAGTGGTCTCATGGGGAATGAAGGAAAAGAAGAACATACAGTCAGAGGATTAGTTTCCTTCTGATTATAACTCAGTAATGTGTCAGAAGCCTCGCCTTAATTAAAGTTGTTTCTGATAGTATCTGTAATTTGCTGAGTTTGTAAAAACTTTAATAGCTGCAAAGTAATCTACCTTTCCCTTGCATTTCCCAGACCAAATAAGCAACATTTCCCAGGTATGAATTGCTGCCAGGATCTTCAACATAGCAAGACTCCCGTCTTCCTTAATGTTTTTCCTCGTAGAGCTGAGCTGTTTTAGCTTACATATTATGATAGATGTCTGGAGGAATACAAGTGATATGAAAATTGTCAGCATTCTGACCCCCCCTTTTTTTTTTTTTCCTCTTCCCTTTTCCTGAGTTAAAAAGAGCTGCAGACAAATCCCCATCAAATAGTCTGTATTTAACTTATTATGGCAAGAAAACAAGCTACTTTTGGTCTAGGCTATATTGCCTCATTTTCTGGCTCCACCAGGAGGCATCACCAAGAAATCTTTTTCTCTTTAGTGTTGTTCTTATAATGGCTATTTAAGTAACTGAATATTTGAATGTGTTTTGAAATGGCTTTCTTTTTTTTTTTCTTTCTTTTTTCCCCATGCTTTTTAAATGGAAAGAGAGGATGTCCCTCTAGAAAAAAACGATGATTCTGTATTGAAGCAGTGCTGTATGTGGCTAAAGAGTGTTATGGTGAGTATTATGAAGAGTGGAAATTGATGCTCTTACTGGTTTCTGTGACTTCATTCTTTTTTTGAGAGAGAATATGTAGTGCTTTTAAAAAGGATTTTTAAATAAGGTTGCTTTACCAAAGAATTCAGTTTTGCCTTGTGTCTTATTTCATATACTTGATCTTAAGATTTCTTTGAGGATAAAAGGGTGGCATGGTGGAATTTAGGTGACAGAGACTTAATGTTGTTTCTTGAAACTGCTGTGACTTGCTTCTGGATAATGGGGTTTGATTAAACAAGTCTTAAGGGTTCCTCAGCTCTAGGTAAGAATAATTATCTTCAGCCTGAGAGGTGTTTGTCTAAGTTGCCCGGAAAGGTGTTTATTATTGTGAAAATGGTTTCAGATGCATCAAGAACCTGTCTTTCCTTATATATGGGGAAAGGAACTAAAGTTTAAGGTGAGTTTTCTAAAGGAAAAGAGGCAAACCAAAATCGATTGTTTCAGGTATCATTGGTTATTATGTTATCTTCTCATGCTGCCTTTGTTTTCCTGATAGTTCTATAAATCAGGTCTTTATGTACTTTGATTTTTTTTAGTACTAATGGCCAGGGTGAAAGCCAACAATGTAGTATCTCCGAGTAAGATAAAAGCAGAACAAAGTACGCTGATTAATGACTTCAGTAAAAAATATGAAAAAACCCCCTTAATATATTTTTAAAGGTAGTGTTACCAGTTAGGAGTGAGGAGGGCAGAGATTTCTAACATTCACCCATCATTGATGTCAGTCTTTGCATTGAAACTGTCTTGCATACAGAACTAGGGATTATGCAGGGAACATTCAAAAAGTTATAGTCTCTTTTGCTCACTAGAGTAGACATCAGCTGTGGTGGCAAAGTACTTAATCTTTGCATCAGGCTTGCTAGCAAGTCGACTGCAGTGTTTTGGTACTCAGATAAATGTTTGATGGCTGTTGTTTAAGCTTTATTTCTTAGATCAGTTTTGTTTAAAACCGGTTTAACTTTTCTAGAATGAAGGCGATGTTACTCAGATTTTACCTGAAGATGTTTCTCCTGATAATCCTAAATGTTTTCAACAATTGTATTTGTTTGCGAGACACGCAATGGTTGAGGACATGAAGCTGAACTCTGTAGGTAAGCTGTAATGGAGCAATAAAAATGCTTCATTTGTCATGTGTAACAGTGAATCTGTCAAGTCTTTAATATAAGCCAAGAGCTCTAAGTAGTTCTGATTGCTCAGTTCAAAATCTTTCACAGGGTTCTGTGCACTTGTATAGAGCTACTGCTGGTAGAACCGTGTAGATTGTTTTGCTTTTTACGGCATTATGGGTCTTGCTCCAAGGTTATTCTGTGTAATGCTGTATACCATTACCATTAACAATGGTTTTGTTGAAAAGTATTGGACCACTCTACTGTACTCTTTCTCACAGCTTGAGGAATTCCGAAGACTCAGAACTGTATGTTCTAGGCATCTTGTATTGTTTTGGTGACCCTAAAGAACAGGGAAGGGGGAGTGAGAGTCAGGGAATGAAAAGACATACAACAGCAAGAGCTGGCAAAAAAGACAAGGCACTGCATACCCTTTTTCAGTCCAGGTAAAATGAGTGTCTTGATTTGTCATTCTTCCAGTTCAGGTGTGGAAGTTGTCTGTTTGCTAAGTGAGTGATATAATTCAAATATTAACTTTCATTTAGGCACTGATACACCTTTTGCTGAAGATGTAGAGTTGGAACCTGAGGATACGTACATGGCATTTGCAAGACATAGAGTTGCATGCAGTAAACTTCTGCACATTTTTCGAAGGGAATATTTTATAATTCAGGAATATGAGAGAAAAGCAGCGTAAGTAATGCATTTAAAGGAACAGAGTCTTTTTATAAAAGCTGACTTTTGTGTGTGTGTTTTTAAAACGTTTTGAGGAGTCCACATCGCTTTATATCATGAGTTCTGTTGAACTTCAGATTTTTTCCTCCTTTACCTGCTCTAATTGATGGTTTGTAGGGTTGTCATGGTCTAGCCCCAGCTATTAGGCTGTTCGGAAATTAATTTTCGTTTTGTGATGTGATTTTTATTGTATATGTTTCAGGAATAATACCTTCTCGACTGGTGTACTGTTACATATTTTTGAAAAGCTCATATTATGAACTTTCATGCTGTATCATTAAATTATAATATAAACTGCGTTTTTGACAAATTTTGGAGGTTTGAAGTTCAGATGTCAAACCAGCAGTTTCACCAGATCTACGAGTTCAAACTTGGACGTAATGCAGTGCAAGATGCTCGAAACATCAATGAGGTATATGGCCTGGGAAGTGTTAACAAATGGACAGTGCAACTTTGATTCCAAAAATTTTGAGGTGGCAATTTCGACCTTGAAGATCAAGAAGGTCGCGGACGTCCTTCTGCTATTGACGACAATGAATTGAAGGCTCTGGTGGAAGCAGATACTTATACAACTGATTGAGAACTTGCAAAAGAACTCGTGGTAAGCATATCAACTGTTTCTAAGCATCTGAAGAAGATTGGAAAGTCGAAGCTCGACAAATAGGTGCCACACAAATTGAATGAGAATCACAGAAATCGCTGTTTTTGAAATGTCGTCGGCGCTTTTTTTTCACAGCCAGAACAACCGGTCTCTCGACCGTATTGTGACGAGCGACAAGAAATGGATGCTCTATGATAACCAGCAGTGATCTTTTCAGTGGTTGGACCGTGATGAAGCTCTGTAGCACTTCCCAAAGCCGAATCTGCACCAGAAGAAGGTTATGCTGACTGTCTGGTGCTCTGCTGCTGGTTTAATCCATCACAGCTTCCTGAATCGGGGTGAAACGCTCACAGCAGCGAAGTACACCCAGCAAATCAATGAAATGCACCAGAAACTTCAACAGCTGCGCCCAGCACTGGTCAGCAGAAAGGATCCAATCCTTCTCCACGATAACGCGTGGCTACATGTTGCACTTTCGACGCTGCAGCGGTTGAACAAGCTGGGCTACGAAACTTTGCCTCATCCACCGTACTTACCAGACATCTCGCCCACCGACTATCACTTCTTCAAGCATCTTGACAGCTTCCTGTGCGGGAGATGCCTCAGAAACCAAGGGGAGGCCGAAACTGTCTTCGGTAACTTCCTCACCTCCAGAAGTCCAGAATTTCATGCAATCGGAATAAATAGGCTTGTTTCTTGTTGGAAAAAAATATGTTGATTCTAATGGTTTTTATTTTGATTAATACATTTTATTCTGAGCTGAGATATGCCTCTTCAAACATACAAGTTGAAATCGGCAATTAATTTCTGAACAGCCCGATATTCCAGGGAGACCTTATAGCAGCTTTCCAGGACATAAAGGGGGCCTACAGGAAGGATGGTGAGGGACTCTTTATCAGGGAGTGTAGTGACAGGGCAAGGGGTAACAGTTTTAAACTGAAAGAGGGTAGATTCATAAGAGATACGAGGAAGAAATTCTTTCCTGTGAGGGTGGTGAGACACTGGAACAGGTTTCCCAGAGAGGTTGTGGCTTGACAGCGTTCAAGGCCAGGTTGGATGGGGCTTTGAGATGCCTGTTCTAGTGGAAGGTGTCCCTGCCCATGGAACTAGGTGATCTTTTAAGGTCCCTTCCAACCCAAACCATTCCATGATACTCTTATCACATAAGGCTCTGCTTTTAATGGAAGGCTCAATAATATTATTTCTAGAGATCAAAGTCTCCTAAAGTTCTCTGATTCCTATTAATTTTGCATCTCCTTTCACCTTGCTTGGGAGGTGTTAGTGCTCTTGCTTACCTTGTGAGTGGTACCCTTCAAAAATGCAGTGTTCTATTAACAAGGCATCAGAGCTCTGAAGATTCATTAGATTTCAGTCTCATTCATGCACACAGTGTTTCTGAACATCAGGCTACTGTTTTTAAATGCTTAATAATTTAATTAAAGCGCTTTGGCAAAAGAACTTTGGTCATCCAGCTTCCTGTACTCCAGTATTGTGTTCTGTGTTTTTTTGAAACTAAGGGATTTGGTACTGTCCAGCTGCTGAATATATTTGGAGGTTTATATTGATATTGTACCTTTCTAGTAACTTTGTTACTGTTCTTGGTTCTAATAAAAGCTGTTCCATTGCAGTAGAATAACTGACAGCTACATTGCTTAATTTACAAATAACCTTAGTGGCTTTCCTGACTGCCTTTGTGCACAAAGTCATGGTGAGACAGTCAAGGATAAATTTCTTTTACAAGTTCCAAAAATGCCTCAGTATGTAGATTTGAAACGAATGAGCATATTGGTGATTGTTATGAATTCTTAGAAGAAACTTGGTTTTAAAAATCTGTAGTGTAATTGTTAACTTTTTTCCTAGGCTATTAAAGAAAGAAATAAAACAGATAAAGTCTGAATATTCAGTCCTGCACACAAGGTCTTCCAAGTAAGTGTTTTTCCTTGTAACTAAGTTAGTATATATAAAATTGATTTATCAATTTTATGAAATATGAACTGTAATTTCATTGTGGTCCACTTGAACTTTTGTTTTTCATGGTGCATATAGGATGAAACAAAATGACCAAAGCAAAAATGATAAAACTGAAAGAATTCAAAAGGTGAGCTTTTTTTTTCTGCTGTGGCAGCCTACTCTATTAGATTTCTGCAATGCTTACTCAGATACTTTCATTTCCACGTGTCTGCCTGCGATTGTGCTAGCCTACTGTCATGTGCCTTTGTGCTGTTTTAATACTTTGTAATCATAGTTATTATGGCAAACGTTTTAACATAGCATTTTTGTCCTTGTCTATTAAGGTCCGCAGTATGTGGACACTTATAATGGAAATGCTTACATCTCTCAAAAATGAAAAGGAAGTTGTGGATTTTGTACTTGAAGGTTCTGTTGATCAGTTCATTTTAGATGGAACTAACATTGTTTTCAGTGTTCCACAACTGTTGGCTCACAGACTTGAAAGTGACATATACCAAGTAAGTAATTTTAGTCCTTGCTAAATTGTATTGGTTTTTTAGTCCCCAGGGGTGTAATAAGATGCCTTTAAAAAAAACCCTCAAAGCAGACTTCACAGGTGGTGACAGATGATTGCTCAAGGATGGAGAAGATATGTCTAACAATGCATGTAAAATTTGTTGTGATTATGCTGCTGTTTTGTATTGGTTATGTCTCAACCATTAACTTTCTAAGTTCAATAACTGCATGGGTAAGTCTGCCTCAGTACTTGATTTCTTTGTTTAGACATTAAAACTAGGTTGACCAGTTTAACTGTTGCTTTAATTAATGGGCTTTTGTTGTCCACTGTAGTATATAGTGCTGTTTAGGCCTGCCACATCTGTTGGGGGAGCAGGTAAACAGAATATCTCATTAGTTGAAGTTTTATTAGTTTATGTTTCTTTATAGGCTTCTTTCAAGCAGCTGATTCTAGAAAACAAACCTGACACTTAAATTTAGAATGTGTTTTTTTAAAAATTAATCTGTCAGGAACTGAATCAAAATACAAAGTGGAACGTCGTATCACTGCTTTGATACAGAAGACATAACTTTGTGATACTGATGATATTCATTAATTCTTTTTGTTCTTTCTTCCTATGCTTCAAGACTTGTACAGGAAATTTATATGAAGCTGAAGAACTGAATTTCTTAACAGTCATTCAGTTATTAAATGAAGCCCTGAAGACATTGAGAGATGAACGTAGTCAATTTAACCAATGTGTGGTCACTGAGAATAGTATTAAGTCCTTCAATGAGTTACTACAGCGTTTGGAAGCAAAGAGGTAATTGTCTGGAAATTTTCTCTGGTTCCTTGATCTTTAGTCTAAGGATCATGTTTTCCAACCTTGGAGTCTTTTCTAAAATAATAACATTTGTAGTGAGAACACATTGGTCTTTTTCCTTTGCCACTGGGAAGTGCACATTTGTATTGATCATCTGTCTAACTTTTAAGATTAAGATTTGAGATTCTTCTCTAGGTGACTTCAGCTTTTTGCCTTTGCTTCATTAATATTTTAGGCTTTTTGTCCTGGGGACCTTATTTGCTAGATGGTTTGATTTTTTTCATTTGTTTGGGGTTTTTTATGGTAATCAGTTCTGGGATTTTAAAACTATCTGAAACTGGCTTAGGGAAAGTTAAAGTGTGCATTGCATTGTGTGAATGTGTTTTAATATAGTTCTTCCAACTCTGCTATAAGAAACATAAAGTCTACCTAGCAGCTGCTTTTTAGGTTGTGAAATTCACTTAGTTCTTAGTGAATGCAGAAATGTATGAATAAGTTGGTACATACAAAATATTTTTCAGGCTAAGGGGAACACATAATACTCACCATCTATGCAGAATTGTTATCTCCACCAGCAGATGGGTTATATTCATTTTTCACATTCATGTTACAGCCTAAAACTAGAGAAACATCACTGTGTGTTGAGTGGATCTATTTCTAGAAAACAGGAAGACTGGGAAGTGAAGTGGAAAAACTATCTTGGCCTGTGTCCTTTTAATTTAATCTTAGATCAGGATGAGGTAAGTAGTGTTCAATTTATCTGATTCTAGGGAAGAGAGTGAAGGTGAGAGAGGTTTTACATCCAAGCTGTTGTGTTCTGATGCAACACTTAAGCTTTGTATGTGAGATTAGGGAATCAGGTAGCACAATAGCAAAAATTGCTTTTTATAATCTTTCTTGAAGAAGATACATTAGCTGCCATTAAGTCAAATGTATTCATTTGAGATGGGTTATGGAACCATCTTGTCAAGACAGTATATCAGCATAAGAGCAAGCTGATTGGTTTTGGTTTTGTCCGTATCCATCCCCCTGTGGAAATTGTGCTTTCATGTGCTGTCAGTCTGAACATCTTCTGAGTTCTGGTTTTCCCTTTTAATGTGATCTGCTTGATGAATGAACTGTAACTTTTACTGTGACACATTGATACAGGAGTCTGAGGTTACACCCTTGTCTTAACTACCCAGCAGAGAGAGGACAAGTTTCATGTTTAGTCAAACAGCTGGTTTGCAGAAAAACTGTTGTAAATAATTGTCTTTTAATTGCTGTTGATATGCAGATTTTTTTCAGCCTGCTTGTGTAACTTTTTTCTTTTGAAAGGAACTGCATTTGTTAAGAGATTTGCCACCCCTTTCTTTTAATCTTGCAGAAGAAGATGAGGATGGTGCCCCTTACCAACATGTAGTATCAGTTTCAGGTGGGTGAGCAGAAGCTACTCCTTCTTCTCCTGCCACAATTTTTAAAAGATACTTACAGAGTTGAACCCTGCTTGTGTTTGCATGTATCTTTGATAGTCTCTGATAATCTGGTTCTGAATGACTCCTTGCCGTAATTGCTTTACATTTTTCAACCTTCTTGTATCTCAGAGACTCTCTAAAGCTTTTGATATGGCAAAAAAACAATGCTGGAGTTGTTTGGTATTTTGTTGTTCTTGCACCAAGGGTTTTGAAACAGATTTCCATGTACAAAGTTTCATTCGTGGGTTCTAGAGAATACATTCACTCTTAACAGTAACAGTTGCTTCAGGTTGGAGGAGTAATAAGAAAGAAAGAAAGAAGAGAAAATTTTTCCCATTGACCAGCTGGGAAAAGAAATTGAAGGTGTCTTTCCTGGTAAGCGTCTTTCTCCAGTGCATTCTGTAATTCTTACTTCACAGTAAGTGTGCCATTTGATCAGGACCTTACTTGATCTCTGTGTTGGTTGCTTTCGGTCATCAGGTTAACTGTAGTGATCAGAACTCACTTTGATCAGGCATGGATGTTGCACGTGCTAAATGACTGCTGAGCTGGTTGTGTTTTACTGGGTAGTGCTTATTGACAAAGTGTTGACTGTACCTAGAATAGAGTTATAAATCAGAAGCCACAAAGCAAGGGTGGAAAAGGAGAGTGAAGACTGCTTGAATCGTGTCATTTGCAGTCCTGTTTAGGAAAAATTTCAAGGTGCAAAGCAATAGGGAGATCTTTTTTGTTATAAAGGTAAAAACACTTCTCCAGTGGTCTTGAGGGTATGTAGATATTAGGCTAGAAACTGCAAAGGAAAAGCTACAGGTCTGAAAATGGAAGGTAATTTGCATTAAAAATTCCAAAGATTAAAATACTATGCAATAATGCTGTGAACTTCTGGTAATACTAGATTAGTTTGAGACAAACTGGTGTCTGTGCTGTTCTCTCTACTCTGTGGTTAAGATGCTTGGTCTGAGAATCCAGCCACTAACAAAATTAATGTTATACCTTGACATACCAAGGTTTTAAAAAAAAAAAAAAAGTTAACCTCACCTAACTTATTGAAGTGAGCTTGGATTTTCAAGGTGGTGTTGAGGTGAATACAAAAGGAAATGCCATTAATATTTGCAGAAGCTGAAATTTTGGGTTAGTAGAGAACTACTGAGGTTAAACTTTGACTGTTTATCCAAATGACATGCCAAAATTGATAATTACTGTTCTAGAGAGTCCTGAGCTGAAGTATGTGGACCTCTGATAATGTGCAAAATATTGCCTTTACAATGTGCCTTGCCTTGCTTGAACTCAGGCAGCCTTGATCAGACAGAGTATGTCCACAGAGATGTTTATTGAATAATGTAGGTGATGCTGGTGGGGAAAATGGTGGAGTTTCGCTTTGTGTATAACACAAATAGATGCTGGGTGCTAGTGACATCTGTGACTGCAGGTGGTACCTGAGCAAAAGGATTGATTCCACTGTCCTGCTTATATATTATTTTTCTTGGATTGTTCATAAAGTGCATCCTATGAATAGTCTACAGAAGTGGTCTGAGTTACATGTGTCACCTGGGAAGCCTGAGTGGAAAAAATGGAGGCAATAACAAAACTCTTGACTTGCTTTTCTAGATGCATGTGACTCTATTCATGAAGTATCTTATGCAAAAGGTGGTGAGGCATTGGAAGCTCTGATGGATAAGTCAACATCACCATCAAGACGGTAGGATGTTAATGAGAAGTTGATTAAAAACGGTGGAAAAAATAGAAATGTACTTGTTGGAATTGAATATATTGCATCTCCTGATCCTTAGTAGATTGTTTCAGCAGCCCTCTCCTTACATGTCGAATCCACCTCATAGTCCTAAAGTAACTTTTTTCCACTGGTGACTAATTGATTAACTGGTTGTTGCTGAATAGGATGTGCATCAGTGAAGTTGTGAGGTTTTTATGTCACTTTTAACTATATTCTTTAAAGCATTAAGAGATGGGTAGAGAAAACAGAATTCTGTTTCTCAGATTGGGTTGATGGAGGGCATATATGTTCAGTATATCCTGAGAATAAAAAACCAGATATTCACAGGAGTCGTTATTTGTGTTTGAAAAAAAACTAAAGCCAAACCAAAACAAAACCCCTTGACTCCCAAGCAGAATTACTGTGTTAAACCTTTTCAACAAGGTTTTTCTTATAAATCTTCTAAAATTACTTTGTTCTTTAACTTCTCTTACTGCAGTTCATGGAAATTACAGAACACAAATCAATGGTATTCTAAAAAGTTTTGGCCTGTTTGTCATTTACTCAGTCCAAGAAGGTTTCATAAACTTTGACTTACAAACACTGTATCCTACAGATACTTGAGAGTGGCCTACTAGGAGAGAAAGGGAGTTAGCAAAGGAAGGCTATCCTGTATTTAGGCATTAGTAGGTGTACTTACATGTAAGTCTCAATGAAGGTCCAAGTAGCACAGTTAGGAGCTAGAGCACAGATTTCTCTCACTGACTTCATACAGCATGGATTTCTGTCTGCTACTGATTCTAAAGACAGGTAACAGCAAATACTAACATTTTAAGGTGCGTTCTTCCTGATGAGTGAGGACTATCTTACGTTTTAGAGAGCTATGCAGTTAGCACTACACTCATCTGAAGTGAAAAGGCTGATGGTTTTGGTAGCTGGCTGACCATTAAATATCAGTAGGTTCATATAGGAACAGACTTGTGGATGCCAGAGGCAATTCAGAGGAAGAATATTTAGTTATCTTTGATTGCAGAAGACTTCTTTACAAAATGTATCCCAAAATCCCTTCTTTTTGTTATTCGGTGGAAAAGTTGCATAATTTATTAATTTTGGGAGGCTGATACACAACTAGAGCTAAATCTACTCTAATTGTCACATGTTCTCCCTATAGTAAAATTGCCTTCTGATGACCGGGACGAATTGAGGGAAATCGTAACGGACAGATACGGGGCACACATATGTAATGGCCTTGTACTAAGACATTTAATTTGTCTCTAAATTTTATTTTTATTCCCCCTTTCTCTCCCTCATCCTCCCTTAAGGATCTCTTCAGTGCCTTTGGAGTCGTCAAAAACATCTGAAAACAGAGATGTGTTAATTGAAAAGGTGGTTCTTTATTAATTTCCTACCTGTCAAAGATACTTGCTTTTTACATTGATTGAAGCCTAGACATAGTATTAGGGGGGAGGGTTGTGGGGGTTTTAAGTAGTAATTTTACAGATCTGAGTCAGGAAGGGACTTGTACCTGACTTCCAGTACAACCTACAGTGTGTCACTGATTCACTGCTTGCTGAAGCAATTTTTCTGGTGTAAGCAGTGGTCAGACTTTGATGTTTCTTAAAGTTGTGTGTGAACTTAAGGGTTATAACGGGGCCTAAAAGCAACTTGGATGTAGAGTAGGTTGTTGCGCAATTGTTCACTGTAGTGTGTTCAAGATAGTTGCAGATGAGTCATCTGTGTTCTGTGCAACACCTTAGTACAGCCACTATTTACATCCTACTTTAAATACGATTGTAAAATAGAATTTAAGACTGAAATATTTTTATTGACTAAAGCCGTTGCTGTTCAGAATTTGTACAGAAGTTTCTTCATGATAATTTTCTGACACTTGAGTTTAAAACTTCTATTAATTCCTGTGTATTCCTCTAGAACCTGCATATTGAAACTTGCAAGGGAGAAAAAAAGCCTGTGAGTCCAAAGATGTCAAAAAATGGAAAGAATGAGTCTACCATTTCAGAAATGTGTCAGAATGGAGGTGATCATGTTATCCAGACAGAGTCTGCTGTCATAAAAGAAGACCCTTTCGAGAAAACTAGAGATGAACTGGTAGAAGAGGTTAGGAAAAGTTATTTAAAATTTATATTTTTTTTTTAAATAAATGGTTATTAAATTCAGAGAACAAATTACGAATTCCATTATAAAATGCCTCTTGTAATCTGCATACATCAACAGTTACTTTTTTCTGCTAGATAGTGTCACTAAGTTTTAGGGATGACTGCCCAGTTAAGTACACCCTGAAAGCATGGAGCGTGTGGAGTTAATAAATCATGGTGAAGTGAATAGCATTCTCAGTAGAAACATGATATGATTTTTATCACAGCACACATTAATCTATGAACCATTGCATATATTAAGAATTCAGCAGTCCTTTTTGTTTCTGAAGTTATGCAGGTTAAATATTTACCAGGGACTTGAGAATTTTAAGCAAAAATTTAAGTATTTCCTTTTTTAGGTCTTTTATTTAAGATTTAACTGAAGAATTCTTTTACAAGAGTTACTGTAGAATGTGCCACAGCTTGATTTTGAAAGCAAATTGAATCTTCACTGAAATGGTAGTTATTTTCCATCTGCTAAAATGTTTTATAAATGTTGTATATAAAATGTTTATAAAATGCTGTATAAATATAGCTCTAGTCTGTATGCTTACGCAGTCCTTGACTAGTGTCTTAAATATATTATATTTGAGCACAATTTCATATTTTAAAGATTGATTCATAAAGGAACTTCAATTCTAATTTCTGTCTTCAATTCTGATTTCAGTCCCCTGTCTTCATTTTGTGTAGTAGGACACTGTGGTCATTGTGAACCTAAGTAGTAAATAGCAGAAGAGTCAGGAGATTCCAGGCTCTTCAGATCATTTGGAGAATGTATCAAGCCATTACTGACAGAGATAAAACAGTTATAATTTTGCTTTCTCAGGATTTGCCCTTCTCTAACATCCTACAGGTTGTAAAAACAGTGATATCTGAGTTGCCTCAGAGTGGTGAAGAAAAAGGAATGGCATTAGAAGATATCATTAGCTCAGTGTGTTTTAACCCATTTGTAACAAGAAAAGAAATTCCTCGAACTCCAGAAAATCTGAGTAAGTCTTAAACTGTGGTTTGATAATACTTACTGATTAGAAATGTGGTTAGTTCATTGACATTGTACATGACACACAACAAAAAGATAATTATTTCACTGAAGCTGCAGGTTGTTCTAATGGCTCACTCTGTAACATAACATAGTGAGCCTAGTAAGATACAGGCCTAATAAGCTGTGAATACCATTAATTTTATTTAAAATAGATTTTTTTTTCCCTGTGTAGAATCCCCTTTGTATTGAGGAAGAAAACTAAGCATAAGCAATGTAAAACAGCTATGCATCTTCCTTCTTGGATTGCTTAGGTTAGTGAAGGTACAAAAGAAAAATGCACTGAGTGTATGAAAGTACTAAAATTTTACCATGATTTGTTCCATTTAGTTACTGAAATTAGAAGCTCATGGAGAAAAGCTATTCAGACTGAGTGCTCATCAGACATAGAGCTGGCCCCAACTGAAGTAATGATAGAAGCTCCAATGGATGCTGGACCTATAACGCAGGACATGGCAGACTCTAGATTTGTGTGCATGGCCTCTGACTTTGATCCTCCCTTGTCAGAAGGGGAGTCCCAGTTGAATTCTGTAGAATTTGGACCTCAAGAGCAGATGGGGATAAGTCATGTCATTGAGTCTCCAGCTTCGGAAACATCTGAAATGCAAGAGAGTGAGAGAAATAAAACACAAGAATTAAAATACGTTGTTTTGAACAGAAGTTCTGTAGACAATACAGAAGAACCTACTATTCAGTATGTAAAGAGTAGCATGAATACTCTAGATATTTGTTCAGAAGACAGTAGCAGAACAAGTGTTGTACCTTCAGACCACTCTCAGGGTTCTATAATGAATAGTATGCAGCACAGGAATGTATCTCCACCATTAAGTTCTACCAGTCCTGAAGCTGGCCAGTTGGGCATATTGGATGAGACATTTCCAGAAGAACTTGGTGACTTCAGTTTCAACAAATCTGCAAGCTCAGAGCTTGATTTTGATGGAATAGACAGCATGCACTTAGCAGGTGGTTCAGAAAATAAGGGGGATATTAAATCAAAGCTAGATCTACAGTCCCCATTCAACACATATGAAGTGCTGAAAATGTCTGCATCTACAAGTGAAGAAGAGCTTCATGAAACATCTGATGGGGATGAATTTTTAAGTTGTAGATCAGACCAAAGCATTTCACCAGAAAAAATAGGAAAATGTGAATTGTGCAGTCCTCCAGAACTCTTCTCACTGGATGAAGAATTCACCAAAATGCCATCGCCACAATCTCATAATGAGAGAGAATATTACCTTTCATCTTTACTGGTATCCTGTAAAAATCTGGAGAAAATGGCATCAATGGTAAACGAAATCCCACCAGACTTAATACATCTATTGAAGGGTAAGTGTCTGTGTACTTGAGCAACAAGATTTTTGTCCATTCTGCTACAGCGTGTAGTACTGTATATAACCTACTCTGAATAGCTGAACTGTGCTGTGGAAGTGTATGGAGACATATTATTTCTATGCTTATTCCTTATGGGAGATGAGACATAAAAGCAAAGGAAACATGCTTCCTTTAGTTGTATAAATATCTTGCAAGTAGGAGGAAAGATGTTAATCTGATTTTCTGAGGTAATCTGCAGCTATTAAAAAAAAAAACAAACAACCCTCAAGGTGTATTAGCAATGGAGTAATCGGAGTTAAATTTTGAGAATTCACAGTTAGTTTGAAATAGTGTGTTTATTGTGAACAAATTTGGCTGTTTAGAAATGTGTTTTAGATAGTTGGAACTTCTGTGAGTTCAGTCAGGTGTTCATAGTCTAATACTTTATTAATATAATTTTTATTATGAAGTAGCCTGCATTCCAGCCTGCCTGCCCTCTCACCCCATTTCCAACAGAAGTGTCAACTTTCTTTAACCAGTAGCGCAGTATTTAGATACATGTGAGGTCAATTTTGAAATGCATTAATAAAAATGAGTCAGTAATGATTATACAGAAGACTCACCAAAAGCGATGGTATTTAGTGGAGTACTAGAAATTTATCACAACAAGCTAGTCTGCAGTAGTGAGATTACACTTTGTGCAAAGGCTTCTGCAATTTAGCTTTTGCTTAAAAGTGTGGCTGTACTGATAGCGGATGATTTTACCTTATGTTGTGGTTTGAGCCCAGAGGGCAACTGAGCACCATACAGCTGCTCACTCACCCCTTCTGTCTGAGGAATGGAAAGGAGAAAATAAAGCAAAAAGCTGGAGAATTAAGATAAGGACAAGGAGGGATGACTCACCCGTTATGGTTATGGGCAAAAGACAGACTCATTAGGGGGAAAAAAAAGGACATCAGTTTAATTCAACACTAACAACAACACTTAACAGACAGAGTAGGACAGTGAGCAGCATTACCACATCTTAAAAACACCTTCTCCTCCCCTCCCTTTTTCCTGGGCTCAGCTTTGCTCCCGATTTCTCTACCTCCTCCCTGCCAGTGGTGCAGAGGGCAGGGAATGGGGCATGTGGTCAGTCCTGCCACTTCTTCCTCAAGAGTTGGGAGAGGACTCCTCCCATTCTTCCCCTGCTCCAGTGTGAGGTCCCTGTCATGGGAGACAGTCCTACATGAACGTTCTCCGACCTGAGTCCTTCCCATGTGCTGCAGTGCTTTCCATGCTGCTCTGGTGTGGATCCTTCCCATGTGTTGCAGTCCTCCCAGTGCCAAACTACAACAGTGGGGGCTTTTTTTCAGAGAGTCCCAGCCTCCTTTGGGTGCAGCCACCTGCTCTGGTGTGGGGTCCTCCAGGGGCTGTGAGTGGGCATCTGCTCCACTGTGACCTCCATGGGTGGCAGGGGACAGCCTGCCCTCTCACCATGGGCTAAGGGGGGTCTCTACTCTGGCACATCTTCTCCCACTCCTTTCTTTCTCCCACTGACCTTGGTGTTTGCAGAGGTGTTCTTACAACTCATCCTCACAACTCCAAGTCCTCCTCCCAGGTTCCCCTTCTTAAATACATTATCTCAGAGTTGCAGCCACTGTCTCTAATTGGCTCAGCCTTGGTGCAAAGGCAGGTCTGACTTTAAGCCAGGGGAGCTTTGAGAAGCTTCTAATAGGGCCACCGCTGTAGCCCCTGCCCCACTACGAAAACCCACCACCACACACAAAAACCCAGCACATCTTATGTGGAACAGTTACCAAAATTGGAAGTACCATTTCATATATGCTTTTGTAAATGCTTTTTAAGCAGTATTTCTGTCAATTAATTGAATATTATAGAATGCTAACTAATTCTCTTTTGCTTCCAGATAAAGATAAGTTGAATGAGAAGTCAAGAAGTAAGGAGCAGCCATCAGGACCAAATTTTTAAAGCAGAAGGACAACTGTATGTGTACAGTTATGGTTCACTTGAGCATGTAGGATCTTCTCCAAGCACTGTCTAGATGAAGAAGTTGCACTCCTTTCTATTTTTTGCAGAGATTGTATTCCAGTCTCCTTATTTAGAAATGTCAGTTGCCTGCTCTGGTTCTTCCAATTTCGTGTCATACATTCTGTGTACAGAATTACTTATTTACTCTTATTTACTATGTATTTGTTCTTAAGCATGTTCTAAAAAATAGCAGGTGTTGAGTAGGTGGCATAATCCTAGAAAATGGAAAAACTTTGGTGTCTCTACCTTGCTCCTGATTTCCATCATCTGTCCGTGTCCCCCCTCCAAAAAAAACCCCATCCCAAGTTTACTTGATGGTTTGTTTTCAGTGGATTCTTCTCTCTTTTTTAGACTTCTCGTCAATATTTCCATCAGTTCTACCTGTTGATAGTCTGCTCTGTTTTTGTAAACTTCCACTGAAGTACCTGTTTTGTCAGGCATTTTATTGAATAAATATTTTACACCGATCTTTTAAAATATTATGACATGTAGTATGATTAATGTCGTTATTTTCACATAGTTGATACATGTTCATGACATTGTGATATAAGTAACTGATAATATAGCTTGTGGTGGGGTGGGAATGTAAAAGTTGTGGTGCCAGCAGATAAACTTATTGTAGAAGTGCTGACTGGTGTGTTTACAGAGTTTTGAAGCATTGCTAAAAAAGTTGCTTTTCTGCTTTGGTGTATCTCCTTTCTTTCAAAACAGTTGCAATAAGTTTTAAGAAGAATCTTCACCTGTATTTGACATCTTCCTTAAAGTAGAATTTGACAAGCTTTATTGTTTGTGGCTGATTGTAAAAGCTATAATGTGGCTGCTAACACATTAACAGCTAATAGGGAAGTGCTTTTTAATAGCCTGTTTACATGTTGATCTCATCATGGTCAAACAGCTAGAGAATTGGAAGGCCTGACCTGGAACATGCCCAGCTGTGTTCCATGCAGACCTGGGCTCTAGAGCTTGGTGGTGGTGACTTCACAGAGGTTCCCCAGGTGACTGTCAAGGCTTTCATGCTGTGGTCAGAAGGGGCTTGAAAACAGGACTGCAGAGCTCTGGTTGGGATGCCACCAGAGGAACCTGGGCATGCTGCTCCAGGGAAGGGGCCTTTCAGCTCAGATGTGTAGTGTAGCCTGTACTAGTGTTGTGTGCTCGGTCCCTGCTTCTGGGGTTTCCTAGACACTACATAATTTGTCTCCAGGAACTGCTGCTGAAGAGTGTTTTTGTTGGGGTTTTTTTGTTCTGCTTGGAAAGACCTGATCCGTAACTGTTTTTCTTAACAAACATGTCTCCTGTATTGCCTGTGCCTTTGCATACAGTTCCATCCTTGAAGAAGTGCATTTGTCAGCTGTGCTCCTGTGGGTATGTAAAAGGCTGGGGGAAGGAGCTTGGAGTAGTGGTTACTTGGCTAGAATGCTGCACTGTTAGTCATTACTATTAAGTTGCATATGAAAAATCATAAATAAGAGTATCTCAGAGCATTTTTAAAGCTTTAAAGCAAGAAGCATTCTTCCCCCATTCTACCTATTCAACAACATGGTTTTTGGTTTTGTCAAGAGTGAATAAATGACAGGAAGGCTTCCTGTTTTTCTTAGTAGGTGGATTACATCTCTTAAGATGAGAGATTTCCACTCTTCGGCCACAAACTTGCTTTCAAATGGGTGTTATTGGCTTTGAGTCTGTTTTAATGTCTTACAAAGTAATTCTTCGCAAGCAATGTGAATTCTGGAAAAGATAGAGGGGTAGAGCTTTACGCAGTGGAAGAGACAACTGAAATACTGGGATTCATTAGCGGCTTTGTTAGTGTTAATCTTGTGAATGTACGCAAACCTTTCTTGAAAGCAATGATTAGCTTTAGGCATAATATCCATTCTCCAGTATTTGCAGGTTAAGAATAAACTTATTATTTGGGGAAAAAATACCTTCTTGACTCATACGGATTACATGCCTTTGCTTTAGAGCTACTAAATAATTAAGAGAATTTAAAAGTACAGAATTCCCACCCAGAGTTTATATTAGGCTGGTATGCAGTTACTCATCATGAGTATCAAGTGCATGTACTCCAAAAAGAAAACCAGTAGGAATATTGTATTTTTGAGTACTTTCATCAAACTCTTATTTGTAAGGTACAGGTGTATCTGTTCCCTTCATTCCTCATTCTGTATGTACTGTTCCTTTTTTTTTTTTTTTTTTTTTTTTTATTCAGTATTTATATTTGAATGGTGAAATGTGTTCCAGAGGGAAGTAACAGTGATTATTTTGTTAGAGGACTGTGCTGTCAAGGACTTAAACATGTAGCACTGGAGTCTAGATCCAGAAGGATTCTGTGGTTCTAATCAAGTAATGTACTGAAGTACAGGCCTGTCTTTGAGGTTTGCAGTAATTAGATGGTAGATGAGCTACTGGGATAGCTGAAATGTAAGGATGTGGTAATACCTTGATCATGGCCTGTTAAGAAAAATTAAACTTAATTTTGGGTTGCTACTACATTGACAGTTCTGGATTGACAGCTAAGAATTTTGAGTTTCCTGTGAAGATTTGGCCTCAGATTCCAAGTAATATATACAAAAGCAGAAATTAGATACCTCTGCACCTTAGGGGTCTTTACTGCTTGCAGGTAAGTTCCACACTATTTATTTTTTTTTTCTTATAAGTAGTAGCTCATTTATTCACTGGTTTGTGGTGGATACTTAGAAAATTTTGGTTAGGCTTATATTAGAAGGCCATCATAGTATGTTGAACTTCAGGGTAAAATCCTCTTGTAGAGCAGTGATTTACTGATCAGTGAGGGGGAGTTGGGAGAAGAGCAGGGCATTAGCAGCTACAAATAACTTTTATAATTTTCTGTGACTTCCTTAAAACTGTGTGTTTGCTGAATAGGAATACAGTATTCATAGTGTACAGTGTTAAATGTTCAAGATACCTGTACTAAATACAATTCACAAGTACTTGCCCATTAAGCTCGGGAAATTATTTTTTTCATTAACTTCCTAATCAGAAGATCTGTTTAACTTTGTAAGAAAAGGGAATTTGAGCTTCTGAAGTTGGGTGCCCTAGATTATCATTAGCTGAAGTACACAGTGCAAACACCTCATTTTCCTCTCCGTAGAATATACCATAACTTAGTGCAGCACTGCAGAGCAGTCAATATTTTGCAGTTTAGCTTTGCCGATCTGTACCAGTTTTCCAAAAGGGAAGGTTTATGAACTACTGTACTCCTTGGTCTCTTTTTTTACTTTGGAAGATTATACTAAGCATTCTCTTCTTACCAAAGCATATACACTTCGCTCATAAAGGTGTGATGAAGTATCTGGAATCTTTCCTCCAAGTAAAATATCAAGTAGTACACTCTTTAGTAATAGCAAATAATGTGTAGCTATAACAAAACATGATTGCTGTAACTTTTGCAGGATAACAGTTTGTAGTCTGTCCTGTATATGCTCTGTCCATACTGAACATACATCAGTCTATTTTTATTGAAAAGTGAAGCTAAAAGAACATATAATTGGCTGTCACTAGTTCGATGAGCATCGAAAAATTCACATACTGTTCTGTCACTGGATTTCTGCAAGTAATGGCAGAAAGAGTGTCAATTACAAGACTTAATGAACAACTAGTCCCCTCTGTTAGCTGTGTAACTGCTGCTTTTAGTACTGTTCATTGTGGCCAGTAGTAGCACTAGCTGAGAGAGAAAATTTCTGCTTTGTGTTCAGAACAGCCATGAATAGAATACACATGTTAATCCTGCATAAAGGTAGAAAGATGTGGTTTTATTGAATCATTTATGCTTCCTGTACTGTCTGTGATTGTGTGGATTGAGAAAATACTTTGTTTTTAATCAGCTGGGAGAGGTAGAAAAAGTAGAGGGTATGAAATAGATATTTTCTAAAAGTTAAGATGACCTGTTCTATCAGAGCTTTAAGATGTTAGGGAAGGACTCTTCTGACCTAGCTGTTCTAGGTAAAATACTACAAGCAACAGTGACCAGGCCACTGGGCGTGGGTCCCATGTGAGAGCTACAAGTTTTCTACTGATTTAGGGATGTTTGGTGCTCAGTACTTTTCAATATGGATGTTGATTTCACAACTACTAAATGATGTGACAGTTATGGATGTGTCTGTATATATGCATAAATGGAGAGATACGGAAATGCATGTATCATTTCTTATGGGGCAAATTAACGCCAGGTTTCATTTGTGGATGGTGTGTGTATGAGATGATGGTCAGAGATACCAGGGTAAGAATTCTCAGTGTATTAGGGCAGCAGTGCAAGATGGCTTTTTGTAACAGTCCATGTATAGTGAGAAGGTGTTTGACATGATGGGTAAGTTCATAGCCATGTTTTCTTATTTCCCCTCTCACAATTTGTGTGGATCTAGTGACTGAAGTCTCTTAAATTAATGTGTGAGAACAAGAGCAACTGCAGGCAAGGATTACTTATTTTCTTCCTCCTGCATCTTGTGCAAAACTCATTTATGCACAAAAAAGTAATGAACCTCTTGTAATTTCATAAGCACGCAGCAGCTGAGGTTCTTGTAATGCCTTGCACAAGGGATGAGCAGTCTTCTACAGTGTGATACAGTTGAATAGATTTTTGTGCTGTTTGAGATATATGTTGAAGTGAACATATGCTTTTGCATAATACCTTATAGCTTTTATTATTTTACATGTAGAAGAGTGTATATTCCTCTTCAGTATAACTAAAGAGGTTTCTCAGAACTGAGCTGGTTAAGTGATCTAAGGTACTTGGTAGCTTAACATGGAACATTTTTTTTCTTTTTTAGTGGAGACTGGGAGAAGATAGGATGAGTAGGAACTTAAAAGGATATGACTGCTCTTGTTTGAATTCAGCCATGGAGTCCTTTAGCAAGCCTGAATTACATTAGTGGCTTGATAGTTCTGGTTCAGTCCTGTGTTTCATCATCTGGAAATGCATTTGCAGAAGTTACTCTATTGGCAGAACATTGCATGAGAGCTCTCACTATCTGCAGTGCTTAACTTCAGCTGTGCTAAGTGTGGCACCATTTGGAGGTAGTTCTCCCATATGAGAGTATTTTTTGGACCATCCTACATTGTGATACCTGCCTACACTCCACTCTATGTGAAGCTGTTCAGCTGTGTCTAATGGGTTGTGTGTGGGTTTACAGATCGGGAACTCTGTTTTTAATTGGCATAAAGCACAATTGCAGAGAGTTTGAGTATCTTGTCCCCATTCTGGGCATTTTA